CCTCCAACCGCTCCCCTCCGCCCCTTCCTGTCGCACCGCCCCTTCCAAGATTCGCTACGCTCATTGGGCATCTCTGACCGACCCGCCAACGAAGAAGGTTGTCTATTGGCTAATTCCCGCACCCGGCCTCGGGGCCCAGCGTTGGACGGTCAGCCGGAGGGACCAAGAAATGCCGGCGGCCGGGCTGGCGTAGCGCTGGCGCCTCCTCCTGCCCCGGGGAGGAACTGCAACCAGTCCGAGATCGCTCATTTTTTTCCCCTAGTTCCTCAAATGCTGATTGAGCGCCCCCACCATATGGTCGCTAACAAGGGATACAGAAATCAACGAGTTGGTCCCGCCCTCAAGGATCTCAAGGGGAAATAAAAAAGTGTACAGAACTGGAACCCCAAATAATGGATGTATTTAATCATGGTACTCTAGGGAATCAATCCCTTAAGTAAGCGTGTCTCTCTTGGTTACTTTCTTTTCAAGTCACCTAACTTTCATAAGTTATAAATGAGACAAACTGTAAGCCCCAATACCGGTAACTCTGAAAAACCCTGCAATGGAATTGACTATATTTGTATTTGATTACCAGGTCTTGCTCATTTCCTGGTGGTCATTCATTCATTCAAGAACTTTTTATTGTGTAACACTGTATTTATCAGGGATACAGTTATAAGCAAAATAGACAAGAGTTCTGCCCACAAAGAAGAGGGGTTACAGCAGGCAATCAACGTGCACGTAAGTCACTGATTTCAGATAAGAATTGTTCTGTTAAAATAGAGATCCTAAGACTAAAAAAACAGATTCTTTGTGGCAATTAGTTGACAAATTATAAACAAGACCTAAGGCCATGCCTGGCATAAACTTATGTTATAACTACCACAACGTTTTTCTTTTCCTCTCCAGCAGCTAAACAAACACTGGCCTCAAGATAAGCAATATTAAAATCATCACAGCTCCATCAAAAGTGGACTGGATAAAGAAAATGTGGTACATATACACGATGGAATATTACACAGTCATAAAGAAAAACAAAATTATGGGCTTTGCAGCAACTTGGATGGGTTTAGAGTCTATATATAATACTCAGTGATTTATCACAGAAACAAAGATCTGAGAACTACATGTACTCACTCATAAGTGGACCCTGAACATTTATCATAATACTGTAAGAAAGGAATTGGCTGTAGTGGGACACCGCCAGGTGAGGGGGGGGACATAACATCAATAAAGGTACCCAAACTTTACCAGCACAATGACCACTTATGTACCTAACCCTGAATTGTACCCCACATCTTTAAAATAAAAAAAATAATTTAAGAAAATCATTGCAGCTCACCAACCACCAATCGCTGACTGACCCTGTGCTTCATAAGCTGTAACTCCAACTTTGATTGAACAAGAGACTGATTTCAGTAACTTTCTCCTGATAAGACACCACTGATAGTGGACTGGTTCTAGTCGGTTTACAGAGGCTGAGTCCTGAGTGTCTTTATGTTTTCTGCTTCACCTTTTGACATACATGGTCTAATCGTCAAGCATTTAAATGTCGTCTCCACCTCACAATGAACAGGTGATGTTATATCATGTAACATGTATGTTTGCTTACTGATGCATGCATGCACTCCCATTGTGAATTCTTACAGTTCCTCATATAACCTGTTAAAGATGTAATACTTAGCCAATACATTTGGCATAAGTTCCTGTTTCATTCTTCCCTCCCTCGAAGTGCCTGCTTTTGGTCTCTGCCAGAGACTACACTTCCCAGCCTGTGGGGATGACCAGCATGCAGGCTGCAAGCCTTTATAAGAAATAAAGCTCTCCTCTCCAGATTTATGAACCCTATGATTCTTCAGTTGACAGTTCTAGTATTCTGGGAGGGCTTCATGGGGCAGGGGCATTTGAACTGAGAACACAAAGATGGGTGACAGGAAACCAGTCATGCAAAGATGAGGACTAAGAAGGCTTGAAGCAACGCTGGCATTTTTCACTACTAGTATTCAGTGTATTTTATTCATCCTCAATCTTCTTCCTCCCCACTTGCCAGCAGAATTAACTGACGCCTCCACCTCACTTCACTTTGCTGGTTCCTGTGCCATAGCACATTTCAAAGTTTTTCATTTAGGAAACCTTCCTCTGCACCTCTGCACCTCTGCACCAAATCCCTTACATGCATTACCTTGTTTAAAACTCCAAGGTGATATTTTGTAAACCATGGTCAAAATCCATGAGAGGATTGTAAAATTCATTCGTGAGTCATGACTGTTATTTACTAAAAATGAATTAAACTAAAATTTTAAAAAGCTTCATTGGAAGTGAGGCTAAGTATTGTTTCATGACCATTTCTTTCAGTTGTGTGTGTGTGTGTGTGTGTGTGTGTGTGTGTATATGCATGCCTACACGTGCATTATGCTCTTTTTTGTTTGTTTGAGTTGGAATCTCACTCCATCACCCAGGCTGGAGTGAAGTGGCATGCTCACAGCCACCGCAGCCTCAACCTGCTGCGCTCAGGCAATCCTTCCACCTCAGCCTTCCAAGTAACCGGAACTACAGGCATGCACTACCACACCCTGCTAATTTTTTTATTTATTGTAGAGATGAGATCTCACCAAGTTTCCCAGGCTGGTCTCGAACCCGTGGTTCAGGCATTCTTCTCATCTCGGCCTCCCAAAGTGCTAGGATTATAGGCGCCCAGCCGCCTTATGCTCTTACCACAATATAAAGCATATACCTGAGAGTTTCAGGAACAAAAGTTTGAAAACCATCAAGACCCATTTTACAAGTGAAAAAAGTAAAACTGAGTTTGCTTGGATCTTGCAATTATTGTCATGGTCTGGTTGTAAGTCCTAAGTCAAATTACCCCTTTTGACTTCTTGCTCAGTGTTCCATTTCTCTGTCTCCAAGTCTAATTCATCACATTTCCCTTTGGCACACAGCAGTGCTCAGAGAATGGCTATTTAACATCTGTCATATGACAGGCTCTCCTGGGCTAGATCCTGGGGAGGTGAGGAGTGAGACAGACTGATGAATAGGACGTCGCAAAGTGTGATAAGTGGGAGCTTTGCTAACTCGGCTTCAAAAGAGACAGTTCTGTTCACTGCCAGGGCTTTTGTTTGCCTGGCGGGGCCATGCAAGCTTCTAGCAAGAACTTGGGACAATGGAGGGAAGAGTGAGGGTTACCTGCTGATGTGTGGCCTCTCCATTCTTCATGTTCCACTATGTTAAAACACATGTTGAACATGCCTTTGAAAGGTGCACATTACTAGGCTGTCATTGACATCTACATGTATGAATCATGGGGAATGAGGGGACGGAAAGAGAGGAAGGGAGGAAAATGGGGCTTTGCAGTCAGGTTAAGGAACTTGGAATCTGAGGCTGAATGGGGGGCACCAAAGGGAACAGATTTCAGAACATCATGCTATTGGGATTTGGCAAGAAGATAGTAACAAGTATTAAGAAATACTCGCAATACTTCGTTTCCAGGAACTTGAACCTGAGCTGGGGATGCAAAGATCTTTAAGACTCATTCCCGCTGTCTATAAAGGTGGAGTTTAGTGTAAAAAAAAAAAAGAAGACAAAACACTAAAGACTCTTTCTTTCTGAGTTGTAGTCTCACTCTGTCGCCCAGGCTGGAGTGCAGTGGCACGCTCATGGCCACTGCAGCCTCGACCTGCTGGGCTCAGGCAATCCTTCCTCCTCAGTTTTCCAAGTAGCTTGAACCACAGGCTCACACCACCACACCCAAATAATTTTTTGATTTATTGTAGAAATGAGGTCTCGTCAAGTTGCCTAGGCTGGTCTCAGACCCCTAGACTCAGGCAATCCTCTCGCCTCTGCCTCCCAAGGTGTTGGGATTACAGGCGTGAGCCATGCACCTGGCTAACACTAAAGCATCAGGGATAAGAAGAATATCAGCTTCTACGAGGGATAGCCAATCAAATAGCTCAAGTTTCTTATCTTTAGTGAGGGGGCCTGGCACACTGTTGTTTACAGTTCAAGAGCATTACATCTCCTTTCAACCTCACAACAACGGTTCTATTGACCAAGGGGTGTTATCAACCCATTTTAGAGATGTGTTTAGAGATATGTAGGTGAGTTGATCAGCCCCAAGTCCTGTAGCTGGA